GTAAGATTGACTTCATTCAACAGAAAAAACAGGTTTTAGATAAAACTTATTAACTTGCCAGAGACTCAGATGGAGGACTCTCAGATCCTCTGACAAACCCAAGCACCAAACAACAGTTCCCCAAGGAGGAAAGAAAAGACAACACAAATGGGATCTCATTTTCTCAAAGTGGAAAGGAGAAAAAAAAAACCAGAGCAAATGGGAACTCATTTTCCCAACATGATCAGTGAAATTCCAAATTACTTCTAGTATATTCAGCTTATACCATTTTTAAACCAGCAACCTGGTAAGGAGTGGGGGAATCCAGACTCATTTATCAAAGATGTTAAGCTCCAAGGTTCAAGGTTTTTGTTTCCTTCTTTTTGAACTTAATTCATCCTGCTCACTAGAGACCTAGTCTCTTATTTTAGACCTTTAGTATACTTGTTCCTCCTATTGGAAAATACTTTAAAGTAGCTACTGATGATTTTAATTTTAACATTGTGATTCTTTATTGAGAAACTGTATCATAAAACAGGTCTTGAGCTACCACTTCCTCCTGTGAATTTCATAAAACAGGTCAGGAGCTGCCACCTCCCCCTGTAAATTGGCAATCATCTATTTTCTTTCGAGATTTGGTGATCCCACTCAAATGCTTAATTACAAATTTTAGAATTTTAAAGTGAAGCATTACTTTTGTTTACTCAGAGGCAAGACAAAAATCCTAGCAAGGGACTGCCACAGAATGGCACTGCTCAAAGGACTATGGGATCCTTTGTAACAGCCTTCATCAAGCCAATTTATGCACCAAAATCCAGGTCAACATAAAAAGACAAACATAAACAAAAGTAAAAATACAAGGCCAACAAAAAAAAAAAACCTGAAGAGGTAAAAGACATTTCAGCAGGAGTGTAAGAAGGTAAGGATGGATAAAGGGGAGTAACTATAAGAGAAGCCGGAGGACAAGGATTAGAGACAGGGTGAGAGACAGGAGCAGAAGAAATGGCTAAAGAAGTTACAGAGCTCTGACATAGCAATTTCTTATTTTTCTTAATTTATTTGGACTTTTTAGAAACAATGTCTTATAAGGATGCAAATTTATGGTCCTGATGCCTTTTAGAGGTTTTTAAATACCAATCAAAAACTGATAACAAATCTCCCAAAGAGCCGTCTGTACAACAAAGTGGAGGCTCGAGATTCAAGAGGGCTTACCTTCACAACCCTGAGATTTCCTTGAGACTTATTGAGCACAAGGGGCTCAAGCTGGCACCGGCGTTCCAGTTGTCAACAATCTCGAGGTTTGTTGAAAATAAGACACCTTCAAAATCCTGCCGACTACACCAAAATGTTGTAGAGTGAAACTCTCAGACTCTGCTAAAGTAAAACAAAACCATGAGAAACACCGGAATGGAGAGGCGTTAGCCCACACAGAGTGAAGACCAATGAATCCAAGTGTGGCTGTTTCACGAGGATAGATATAGCGTGAAATCAGAAACCTCCCAGCAGGATTCTGATTGGTTGACCCTCCGTGGACTTTCTCGGGCTTACCCAGGTTGGCCCAGGCATATCCACATTGTCTGTTGGTTCCACCCAGCCAGAGGCCTAAGTCCATATGCATATGAGTGGGAAGAAGAAAGTTACATTCTCAGGAATGCAGAAGACGAGCTTGTAGCAATATGGAATCAGGTCTGCTCCTAGGCCAGCCACCCTAAATACACCAAGTACTTCTGTTCTGAAGCTTTTATTCTCCACACAATACTGAAAATCATGGCCTAGCCAAGTTGACACATATTTTTGAGGGACACAATTCAATCCATAACGTTCCACCCTTTGGCAACCAAAAATCCATATCCTTGCCACATATAAAACACATTTACCCCATCACATCATCCCAAAGGTCTTAAATCAACTCCAAGTCCAAAAATACCATCTTTTGAATCGTATTCCATCCTAGGGCAAAATTCCATTCATCTGTGAACCTGTGAAATCTAGAATATAATTTATCTGTTTACAAAGTACAATGGTGGAAAAGACACAAGGTAGATATTTCCAACACAAATGAGAGAAATTGGAAGGAAAGAAGGGATAACAGGTACCAAGCAAGTCCAAAACCCAGCAGAATAATTACATTAGGTCTCAAGGCTTGAAAATAATCCTCTATTCTCTGAGACCATCTGGGTGATGGCCCTGCCCTCCAGGTTCTGCATGTTGGCCATACTTTGTGGATTCTGGGTGGAGACCTCTCAGCCCTGAGTGTCAGCTCCACCTTCCAGACCCACTGGGATGTCAACTTTGATCCCTTGGCTTTGGGCGGCCCCCTTCTCCTAACCCATCTGAGTGGCCATTCCACACACTCAGCCGTGGCAGGCTCTGTTCTTCTGCGCCTTGGGCATGACAGCCCTACCGCCTCTGCTTTGGGCAGCAGCCCCATCCCTCTGGCACATCTTAATAGCAGCCCTGCACTCCAGAACCGAGTTGGCGAAGATCCCATTCTTTGAAACCTAGGAGGCTGTGGCCCCACCCTTTGAGATCCAGGAGACCGTGTCCCCACCCTTTGAAGCCCCAGAGGCCATGACACCACCCTTTGAGACTGAGGCAACTCTACTTTCCACATGCCTTCCAACAGTTCTGTTGATCTCTGAGCTGGTCCAGGGATGGTTCTTTTCTTTTCTCAGAGGACAGATGTAGCTCCTTTGGTCTGTTTCCTGCTTGTAGAAGTCCAAGAGGCAGACAGGTTTCTTTCCTTTCATTCCTTCTCCGTCCCTTTCGGTCTGAGCTGATGGGTTTTGTGCTGTGAGTATTGGTTAGATCCATCAGTTACAGGCTTAATCTCTTTAACAAAAATTTGTGTAGCCACGTCCTTAGCGAACATTCTAGGACACGTGTCCTTAGTTTGTGCACAGAATTTTCCAAATCTTTAAGTTCTGTTTTCATTTTGCGCAGTTCATTTTAAGTCCATCTTTTCCCTCTCACATTTTAGTCTAGGTGGCAAGGAGAAACCATGCAGCCCCTCTAAGATCTTGCTTAGAAATCTCATCAGCCAGATATCCAAGTTCATCACTTACAAGTTCTACCTTCCACTAAACATTTGAACAGAATTCAGACAAGTTCTTTGCCACTGTATAAAAATCATCGCCCTTCCTCCATTGTCCAATCACATGTTCATCATTTTCTTTTAAACCCTCACCAGAAGCACATTTAATGTCCACATTTCTAGCAACATTCTGTTGCTGGCACCGTATGTATTCTTCTAGATGATAGAGACTTTCTCTACAGCTCTCCTCACTTCCTTCTGAGCCCTCACCAGAATTACCTTTGACGTATATAATTCTACCAATAGTCTCTTCAAGGCAATCTAGGCTTTTACTAAGAGGCACCTTAAAACTTCTCCAGCCTCTACCCATTACCTAATTCCCAAACTGCTTTCACATTTTAGGTATCTGTTAGAGCAGCCCCCCATTCTCGGTACCAAAGTCACTATCTGGGGCCTTGAGAGTCCTCGGTGGAGGGGGTGTACAACTTTCTTTCCAAAGGTACCCAGGAGCCATGGAGAGGGTTGAAGAATAGCAGTGGCCTGTCTGAGTCATGTTTTCAAAGCTGGCCTGGTGGCTGAGTGGAGAAGGACTACGGGGCAGCATGGGCACAGGAAACTTTGGGGCCTCCACACAGCCCAGGCCCTGATGGAGCCAGAGTCAGGGATAGGGCCAGGATGGAGTCTTAGAGGGCTACAGGCACAGAGTACAAGCACAGAGCCCACCTTCAGATGGAGCAAAGAGGTGGGGGCTGGGAGGGATGGGTGGCAGGTCCAGGGTTCCAGAGGGCCTGCACACAGGCTTGGGAGGGTCAAGGGTGTCAGGTCAGACTAGGAGAGGCATGTTGGGGACACTGGTACTTAGAGTGAGCAGGCATATGAGAGGATGGGCTTGGTCCTAGCAATTCTAGACCTGTGGCCCCCAGGAAGCATGCTGAGCACAGATTCTCAGTACCCTACCCATCATACCCCATTCCCACCCAGCAAGACTGATAGGTCAGGAGCACCAGCTGGAGATGCGTGGAGACGGAGAGCACACCCTTGCAGGACTAAGCTCCAGCAGAACTTACCCCTCTACCCCCAGCCCCACAATGCAGACCCGGAGGCAGGCAGTGGGAGCAGTCCCCTCTGAGCACTGGAGCTGGGGCTCACTGGCTAGTCCATGGGGCACATACTGGCCTGTGAGACTGATGGCTCTTTCCAGGTTACTTTGATGGCCCAAGGTGGTTCAAACCTGGTTTTGTGCAGCTGTGGTCAACTTATCTGACTTCTGTGAGGACACTAGGCCTCTCTGGAAGGGTCAGGATGATGGAGAAGCCCACAAAAATCTGGTGCCCAGGGTCAGGTAGATGAGGGGCTGTTACCAAATGGCAGTGCCTCTGCAGGTGGGCCATGGATAGCAGACACACCCTGCAGCCCAGAGCCCTACACTCAGGCCAAGGTCAGGTACAGCCTCCGTAGGCACCAGGGCAGGGGCCCACAGCAGCCCCCCTCCTCCCCGCAGCTCCTCACCTGCCAGAACTTAGGTCACTGCTTCCTACTACTCACTCCTTTGGGAACACCTTCCCCGGGGAGTGCACAAGCTCCAGGAGAAACCACACAAGTCACCATCCCTAACCTCCACTACAGGCTGTGCTGGGCCCCCCTAACAGGCGCCGCTGCCTCCCCCAGGTTAACAGGCACCTGTAGATGTTGGTGGTCAGGCTGTTCCAGGGGGGCAGTGATCTCATCCAGGTTCTGCATGGTCATCTGGTTACCTTGGTGAGGGACTTGCCCTTCTAGGCCCTGCCCTCTCCATCTATGACAAGGGGCTGTGCCAACAGCCTCTAGATTTGGAACCACAGGACCCAGTCCCTTCCTAGTGACTGGGATGGTGACACAGGGTGGTAGGGACGAACCCTGTCCCTGGAGAGCATGGAGGTACAGGCATACACAGGTGTGGGGAGGAACTGAGGAACTGACGCCGTGGTGGGCGTGTGTTTCCCCACAGAGTGCGTGGAGGGGCCGAAAGTGGCCGCCATCGTCGGGGGCACAGTGGCAGGGATCGTGCTGATCGGCATCCTCCTGCTGAGCATCTGGAAGGCCCTGACCCACCTGAGCGACCTCAGGGAGTACAAGCGATTCGAGAAGGAGAAGCTCAAGTCCCAGTGGAACAATGTGAGTGGCTGTCTTCCAGGGTCGTGTACGGGGTGGGGGGGTGGGGGGCGAGGGGTGACAGAAGTACACAGAAGGACCCACACCTCCTGTGCTTCAAACTGTCTCACTCCAGAAGGTGTGGATGTCAGTCGCACACCTGCCGACAACGCTTCTCAGAGTGCAGCTAGTGGAGAAAAGCTTTGACTGCTTGGCTAGGACCCTTGTGAAATCCACTCCCACTTCTAGCTCCTTCTTCAAAGCAATGTCTTTGATACTGACCTGGGGCCTCCAGGGAAAGTCTACTCCCAGAAAGCCTCCCTTGTACTAACCAGTCTGCTCTCACCTTTCTCACCAGGATAACCCCCTTTTCAAGAGTGCCACCACCACGGTCATGAACCCCAAGTTTGCCGAGAGTTAGGGAGCACTTGAAGAAGACAACAGCCAGCAGAAACAACCAGATGGGAGCACCTGCAAACCAAGTCTCCTCCAGCATGGGACGGAGCCCTGCCCCACGGGACATGGCTTACAGCTCTTGATCATTTCATCAATTAACCAAAATTTCTCTTTGTATTTTCTTTCCTGCCCTCGAAATGATAGATATGGCCAGGTTTTCATACGGACTCATCAAAAGGGACAGTCTCCCATTCACGATTTGTACAATTTTTTTGATGGAGACTTGAAAATGGAATCACTTAAGTCTTCTAAGGTTAGATACATGTTTTCTAGTTAGGTGTCTGATGAAAGTGTGCAAATTTATTTATATTTAAAACTGATAAATGTGTAAAACTCCATTCCATTCATCATGATGTTAACCAATAGGTATAAAGAAAAGAAATAAACTTTCCATGGGGTGTCCTAGAAGCTGGGCTCTGTGACCTTCGCGTCTCCCCAAGGGGAAGACAGCTGGACGTAGAGTGGTTTCTGTTCCACCTGCTGCTCCTTGTGCTCACTGTGGATGTATACCGGCTTGTGGACAGTTGGGCAGCATTCCATTGTCCTGATTGTCCTTTCTCCTTCCTCACCCATTGGCCCACGCGTACTTATTCAGGTTTTCATGGCCCCTGTCTGAGCCCCAAGTCCCGGGCCCTGAACCAAATCCTAAGCGGCTTTCCAGAAGCCCAAGGTCTGCTGCCAGGCCTGACCGGGGAAGAGAGCTGGGAAACAGGCATCTCTCACCTGCCCTCCAGCCGTCTGCTGCTGCCTTTCAGTGCAGTCAGGCTCTTGGAAGAACAGGCTGACTAAATGTAAACCAAGAGGTAGAATTGTGCACCGTAGGTTTTTCAAGGCTGAGACCTTTCAGAAGCAGATCGCCAGGCCGTACTTCCAAGGCACCCCTGGGTGGGTTTGAACTGCCAATCTTTTGGTTAATAGTCCAGTGCTTAACCATTTGGGTCACCCAGGGATGCCTTAACTGTATTAGTATATCCTTCCAATGCTAGGGAAAGAATTATGGTTCATTTGATCTATCCAAAACTTTAAAGCTCCACTGAGCAAAACTGAACCGTTCTCAAAGTTGGGCGGCAGGTCCTCTTCCTCCCCACACTGGTGGCTCTGCATGTTTGACTGCTTCAGGGTGGACTGGTGTCACTGTTCAAATGCCTCTTGGGTGACTTTGCTGTGCAGCCAGTTGAGACCCGCTGACCTGTAAGGGCAGTTCCCAAAGGCTGATTCTAGAGCCACAGCATCAGCATCTGCTGGGAGCTTGTTGGGATTGTACATTCTCGGCCCCCCCCCCCCGCCGCAGTGCTGCTGAATCAGACTCTGAGGGTGGGCTTAGCTAGCACTCTGGGCTTTAACAGGCCTTCTGGGGGATTCTGATGCCTGAAGCAGTTTGAGAGCCGCTAAGTGAGTTCTTGGTGTGGCGGGGGGGGGTGGCAAACGTTAAGTGCTCAACTATTTACTGAAAAGTTGGTGGTTTGAGTCCACCCAGAGGTGCCGCAGAGGAAAGGCCTGGCGATCTGCTTCTGGAAAATCAGCCACTGAAAACCCTAGGAAGCACAGCTCTGTTCTGACACACATGGGGTAGCCATGAGTCAGGGTCAACTCAACAGCAACTGGTGGTGGGGTAGATGAAGCTGGAAGATGAGGGTCTAGTTACTGACGTAAAGGTGAGGTCTCTGGGTATTGCCTGTGCCGTGCGTGTGCAGGGTGGTGATGCCCTTTAGGAGGGATGGACAGAGGGAGGGTCACCCCAGGTAAGGATCCCAGGTAGTCAAAGACCCTGGCCTGGAGGGAGCGACGTCCATGGCTAAACAGGAATCCTGCACCAACCCAGATCAGCTGGGCTGCATGCCCTGGTTGGTACCCTTTTCAGACAGAGGTAGCGAGGCTGGTTCCCAAAGTAATCTCTAGCAAGATGATACTGGCAGAGTCAGTTGCCCTCAACCCAGAAACTCAGCCCATCTTGTGTTTTTGTAACATTTTCCTGGTAGTTTCCAAATAACCATTTGGGGATTTTCTGACCTACCCCAGCGGAACTGAGTGAGCTGGCTGTGAGGGAGTGGGTAGAACAGTGGCCTGCCAGGGTGGACCCTGGTCAAGCCCAGCTCTACCCCTTGCCAGGATTTGTGCCCTTAGAAACTGTTACATAACCACACTGCTTTCCTGCTTTCCCAGAAGTGCAGGAAGAGGGTCACTAATGCCACTTTCACGTATCACCGGAGGACTTGGAGAGGTGGCTCAGGAAGACTTTGAGAACCAAGACTGCTCATTAAGGGATGGGTAAAGGGAGTTCCATGTCCTGGTCAAGGGTAACCTACTTCCGTCGAGCAGACCCCGACTCGTGGCCACCCCGTGGGTGTCAGAGCAGAGCTGTGCTCCAGAAGGCTTTTGGTGGCTGGCTTTTCAGAAGTAGATTGCCAGGTCTTTCTTCCGGTTAGTAGCTGAGCATTTAAAACCCAGGAAACTAATAACCCCTTGCAGGGGTGGAGGAGTCACACCGGGAAGACACATCTCACATCATCCCTTAATCCAACCCTGGAAAATGGGCTTGGCCAGTTGGCGCAGCCCCTCTCCCTCCCTCCAGCCCTTTCTCCACTCCAGCACCTGGGGCCTCTGCTGACTTCCAATTGCCTATTGGCTAGGAGTTCCCGCAGCCCCCAGGCCCAGACCTTTCAGCTCCCTGCCAAAGTTCTAGGCTCTCAAGCACTTTCTACGTCCGCAGTGAAGCAGAATATGCCCTCCCTCCCCAATGTTAATGATTGGGAGGGTTTAATGTGTTACCCTGCACAGGTAACAGATTCACTCTTTATGCAGCCTCTCTGGAAATAATTCTTTAATCTACTGAAGAATGTAGACGTGATGATAGAAAAAATTAGACGGCGTCGATACTCTACGACTGAAGAAAACCGAAGCCGGGAAAACATGTCCTGCTGTGATTGTATAATCAGTGGCTGGAGGAGTGTTTTTCTGCACAACTCCAGGGCAGGGCTGCTGGCTCGCCCTTGAGTGGACCACAAAGGGCTTTGACCTTGCTGGTCAGAGCTTCTGGACAGCCCTCCCCGTTGCCCTGGGGGCTGGCTATCATCTTTCCTAAATGGACACCATTGTGATTTTGTTAGAGGATGGGTGCCTTCATGAATCTAATTCCTTAACAATCTTACTGGAAAAGCATATGCCCTTTTACTTCCAGAAGGCTCTAAGGGATCATTTTCTGTTTTTGTAAAAAGTCATCACCATTTACACTCACACAAATTATACGTGTCGGGTATACTTACATTATACACAGTTTATACTTACACACATTATAGTGTCATTTGCTCATTCCTATGCCCTTGAAGCATCTTTGACATTGAAGACATATCTGCAGACTTTAGATGTATTCTTTTAAGTTAAATACTGTTGTCCCCTCCTGCCCCTTCTTATAAATCTTGACTTCTATTTGGGCAACACTGGGACGTGGGCTATAATTACCAAGGATTTTTTGAACTTCTGTGTTGTTGAATTGTCCCAAGACTCACTGGTGATGCCATTGTTTAAAATGTAGTGGAGTTTATTGTGTCTTGCTTAATATTGATGCACGCCTAGTATCCACTGACTATCATTCGAATAGCTTGGGTGTGGCCGCGCTGTTAGAAGAATATTGGTTTCAGGTGCCATGGTTCTAAACCCAAGCTTGTGTTTACTCTGTTTCCTGTGGCCAATGAATATTTTAACATCTTTTTATATATTAGACAATCCAAAGGAAGATATAAAGTATTTGAGCTGAAGAGGTCGGTCAAAGTCGGTGTTCACTGCCACGAAGGGCCTTTTACTTCCATACTTTCATTTCATGATGAGTCAAAACAGAGCTGAAGACTGCTCCCTAAAAGACCCCAAAACTCCCGCTATGGGTCAACTAAACCAGTTGCCGTCCAGTCAACTCCGACTCATGGCGACCCCTTGTGTGTCAGAGTAGAACTGTGCTCCACAGAGTTCTTGGTGGCAGATCTTTTTTTTTTTTGGAAGTAGATCACCAGGCCTTTCTTCCAAGGTGCCTCTGGGTAGACTCAACCCTCTAACCTTTCCACTTAGCAGCCGAGTGTGTCAACTGTTTCCACCACCCAGGGACTCCCAGGAGTGTATACACTCCACATACCAGGAAGGGTAATGCACCCATCAGAAATCACACTTTTAAATGTTTATTTAATGACTTGAGAACAATATTTTTAAAAAGGAAAATTTGGGCTTCCAAACAATATCCCCACGTCATGGCAAAAAAGTAAGTACTCAGAATATTCCGTGTTTCTCTCTGGGTGGACTGGAAGCTCCAACCTTTCGGTCAGCAGCAGAGCACACCGACTGTTTGCACTACCCCGGGCCTGTGTTTGCACGCAGGGAGTCTTCCTGTGCAGGCACGGCCCCCTGTACCATGCAGGAGACTCCAGCCAGCTTCTCCAGGACCTGTACGAGCTCCAGGTCTGCTCTGAAGGGCAAGGGGCGGACGTTCAAGCTGGGCTGTGACCTACCACCCCTGGGTACTGTCTGTGTTTGATCTCGGTTAGTATTCTCAGCAACACAAGGAGGTGAATGGTGTTGACTGAAGCTCAAGGAGGCTGAATAAGTAGGTCAAGCTCACGGAAGTAGAACTGGTAGCATTGAGGTTTGAGCCCCTGATGCACCATTCTATGGCCCTGTGATCTTCTAGGTACAGCTTGCCACTATTGTAATGACGGGGCTGGATGAGATGACGCCGTTAAAAAAAAATATTCTGACAAAGTTAATTTGATAGCGTTCATTTCGGTTTCAGGAAAGGTTCATGAACCAGCAGCATGGCCTCAGTGTAGTGAGATGTGCTCCACCGGACAGAGAAGAGGTGGGAGTTTTTTAAGAGATAAAGGCAGAAAGAGAGAGAGAAACAAAACATCTTTCATGTATCGTAACATACCATTAGGTCATAGAAGAGCAGGGCATATAGAAAGCCTAAATGTTCCAACTTACCTATTCAAAAGGGTCTGTAAGTCTGAACTAAAATGTTTAAGGGATCAAGCAAATGTGCAAGCAAAATGTGGGTATAAACAGGTCAAAAGCAGATAGGAATTTCAAAGGAGCCTCCTTTCCCGCCCCTTCCTCCCCAAGCGGAACTATCCAAGCCCTTTAACTCTTTTAAAAAGCTTCTTCAACTCCAGCAAGCCTGGAAAATAAAATACAAATTTGACACTGTTTTAGGTCCTTGGACACCAAAGGAAGCACAAATGCACAGTGTCCAATAGTATCCTCCTGGTCAAAGCAATGCTTTCCCCACTGGCCCTGGGGGTTGAGGGCAGGTTAAAGTCTAACCACATTGAGGCCCTCTCCTGTAGCATTTCTAGAAGATTCTATAGGCCACACAGCTGAATTTTCACATCCTGGACGAGAAAGAGGGATGCTCGATCAGTCTGGTCTGTGCCTGCCTACCAGGTCTCAGCTCAAGAGCAGCCTCCTTCCCAGGTTACACCCCAAAGTACACCCTAATGCTTCCCTGCCACCTTCAACGGGCGAGGTAGGCATGGGACAGCAATGAAACATGACTTTGGGGGCCTGAGGACGATCAAAGATGGCAGGCATCACTAATTGATCCCAGCACTGCTCTTCCTGAGCCAGGGGAAAGCTTTAGACAGACACAAATAATTGATCTGAGTAAATTTTCCCTGAACAAGTCCCAGATCCACTGAACAATTTCCAAATCTCCATTCCACTTTGGCTACGGAATCATAAACAGAAAGCAACTGAACTCATTTGTGTGTTTTTATCGTTTGTTCTGTCAACCAGAAATGACCAGAACCAGTCTAGACTAGTTTCTCCCTGTAAACGTTACTTAACTGGTATTTGCCAAACCCACATACTCTTGAAACTTCAACATAGTACAGCCAAACACCCTGCACCTTTTACAAAGGAAAGAAAGGACATGTGGTCAGATTACAATCTTGCCCTGGCTTTGAAAGGATCACCTCTTTGCTTAAACGATAATTTTGCAAAAGCTGTCCCCCTCCCCCTTTTTTCCCCAACTAACTTCCTCAAATCATGTAATAAAAGAAGACCATTATCTTTCTCTAATTGAAGTCTTTGGTATATCCTCTTGAGTGCCAGGCTTCCTTGCTGCAGGAACTAGGTTTACTCGCAAATGAAATCTTTCATAAAATTTTTGTAACTCAGTTCCAGAATCTGTTATCCAACAGTTATGTAATCTTAAAGAGAAGCTGGGTTTTTTTTTTTTTCTTTGTTTGTTTTCTTTTTAAATCTACCCAACTTAAGTATACTGAACGACACAGTCCAATACAAAAAGGGCATTAAGTCGTGGGGGGTGAGCAGTGAAAAGAACGTGAGCGTCTCTCCATCAGAAGCCAAATATTGATCCTGGCAACGACGAACATTTAACTCAAGTCGGGGTGAGATTGCAGTATCCATGAGAAAACAAGGGACAGAAAAAGAATCAAAGCTTATCTTGGGAATGTAAACGATAGTTTGGGTAATAAAAGTTTAAAGCAATTTTGAGCTTGTTTTGAATGTTCTTTATGTATATAAATAACTAAATGCTCAAAAATCACAATATGAACATTTGATGAAGATCTAAGGAGGAAAGTTAAAGGGCAGGAAGAATAGAGTAATTCTTTATTTGCATGTGGCAGTTTGAACCGGCGATCGTGTGACCTAAGCTAGGTTAAGGTCACCTTGACATTGTGGGTGACAATAAAATCAAAGTTATGGTTCATCTGTAACTTTGTTAAGAGCAACATTTTAAAATTTAGCATTAGCAGTATCTCAGCAGGGGTTCCCCGATAGTAGAGCCTGAGACAGAGGTGTGGGAGCATGTGGATTATTGGGAGGTGAGGGACAGGAGAGTGAGCCTGGGACAGAGAGCGAGCACCATGAGGATGCATCATCCGCCACCACTCCTCCCCCAGGCAACTGGGGCTGCATCCTGAGGGTCCTTCCAGGAGCCAGGGAACTGTCCGTTGGGGGAACTTGTCCATCGACTCCCGACCGCCAGTGGTCAAGGAGACCTCCAGGAGTTAATTACATCAGAAACTTCCCAGGCTGGATGTGAGGCCACACAGAAGTGCTGCCTGGCTGTCTAGGGGAAGCTGGGACGTTTCTGAAGGATCACTGCAGCAGTGGCTGAAACGGCCAGGGTCCAGGTGATGGGCAGCATGCACAGAGCAGGTGCACACGAGTGTCGGGGGTTGCGGAGGGGGCATCTGGGACCCGCTCCAGAGTGACCAGCTCCCGAGTGACCTGCTGCAGGCCATGGACAGGCACCGCTAGCTCAAGCCTGAGACCTGGGAGCAGTGGCGTCACTAGGGATGCTGTCACCCAGTGCGGGAACTCATGTTGTCACCCCGCCGGTAGCCTCCTCCCATACTAGACCATACAGAATCCTTACTCATGTTTTTCGTACTAATATTACTTGTAAATTGTAATTCCCATGTATCTCTCCTTCTTCTCTTTTAATTACTACTTCATTCTCAAAAAAGTTACTGATACAGCTTCACAAACACTAATTATCACAATATTGTAGCTAAAACACCAGAAATTTTGACAAAATTAGGGACCATAGAAACACCGGGCAGTAACAAAAACAGCGCCTGCTTACAGAGGTGCAGACGAAACCGTGTGATTCCAAGCGTCACTGCAATTGAGTGATAATGACAGCTCTGACAGCCGCACATTAGAAGGTTCAAAAAGGAAATTAGCATAGAGTTTTAGCCTTGTAGGTATACTGATACACGGAAGCTTGGCTTATAAAAAATCTTTTTGTTGTTATAACTAACTACAGGGGTATTTTTATAAAAAATACATTTTGGCTGAAACGCTGCCCAAAAATTGTACAGACGGTCATTTTGGTGTCACCCCCTCTGACAGTGTCACCCTGTGCTGTCCTACCCCCCTACAACTCCCTAGTGACGTCACTGCCTGGGAGCGCTGAGCGGTATTAGCAAGCACCGAGGCCACCCGCTCCATCAGCGGACTGGGGTGCCCCGGGGAAAGGGGTAGGGGCCGGGATGAAAGTGCTTAGGATGGGAGGGTCCGAGACGGGTCGAGGAAGGGGGTGCCCGGGACGCTGGTTCGCAAAGGGGTATGGGAGCAACCGGGGAAGGACGGTAGCGTAACCGGGCTGAGGCGACCTTCCCGACTCCCTCACCACTTTAGGGTCAAACCCAAGAAGCTACCCACACGGTCACACAGCCCCTCCCGCGACCCGCCGCCGTCCTCCGTCGCGCATGCGCACTGAGCCGCAGCCGACTCAGGGGGCGGGCCGGAGGCGGGGGGCGGGGATGGGCAGAGCTGCGGCTGCGCACTGCGCGGCGAGGCCCGCCCGCCCGGCCAGTTTCCGGCGCTCCGGCTCTTCCGGGCAGAGATCGCTGGCCTGGCGTTGGAGACGGAGCTCTTCCTGTCCGACTGACCGACCGACGACTGACGACCCGGGCCCGAGCGACCATGGTGATCGGCGGGGCCCGCGGGCCGGCGCCGCGCTGGGCACTGCCCCTCGGCGGCTTGGCGCTGCTCCTGCTGCTCCTCCCGGCGGCCGCCGCGC